AAACATAACACTAAAAGTTACATTCAGTTAGATGCATGATTTCTTACACTGTTCCCATCATAAGGCATAATGTCTTAGATCAAAAATAACTTGCATGCTGAGTTAAAAATCAAAGCTCTGACTCTTCTCCATTCCAGCCTCCATTATCCTGAGGCTGTTTACTGGAAACAGAATCAACACATCCTTTCTCTTCAGTAGCTTGAAAAACAAAAGAGCACCCCCACCTAAGATGCATGTCTACAGATTAGCATATGCATAGACCTGTAACACAATCCTTTTTCATGAGATTTAAACATCTTGTGACTGGGCCACAAAGATACAGCCCCACTTAATGATTAACCAGTTAGGCTCTCTTCGCTTCAATGGAAATTTCCAGTCATGTTTCACAGTATAATGCAGGCAGATAATATATTTATTTTCCATTCCAATATATATTAAACAGTTAACAGGAATTGGGTACGTTTAGCTTAGAAAATAAGAAATTGGTATGAGATATGATCGCCATCTTCAAAAATCCAAAGGGCTAATCCATGGAAGATAGAGCAAGCTTGTTTTCCCTTGCTCTGGAGGGTACAACCCAAACCAATGACCAAATTACAAGACTTGGTCTTGTAACACCAGGAAGAGATTTCTAACAGTAAGAGCTGTTAAGATAGTGCAACAAACTCCCTTGGAAAGTGGCACACTCTCCTTCCTGGAAGGTTTCTACACACAGATTGGATGGACATTTGTCCTGGATGCTTTAGTTGAGATTCCTGCATTGCAGGGGGTTGGGCTAGATAATGCTCTGGATCTGTTCCAACTCTACAATTCTATGATTCTGTAGGTTCAGGTATAGTAAAGGTAAATGGACCCCTGACCATAAGGTCCAGTCGTGGCCGACTCTGGGGTGGCGGCACTCATCTCGCTTTATTGGCCGAGGGAGCCGGCGTACAGCTGGTCATGTGGCCAGCATGACTAAGCCGCTTCTGGTGAACCAGAGCAGCGCACAGAAACACCGTTTACCTTCCCACTGGAGTGATACCTATTTATCTACTTGCACTTTGACGTGCTTTCAAACTGCTAGGTTGGCAGGAGCAGGGACTGAGCAACGGGAGCTCACCCCATCACGGGGATTCGAACCGCCAACCTTCTGATTGGCAAGTCCTAGGCTCTGTGGTTTAACCAACAGCACCACCCGCATCCCGGTTCAGGTATACTAAGTGGCAATTGAAGTGAAAAAGAACCCCTTGCAGTGAGCCCTGTATGTTCCAGAACTGAACTGCAACACGATGAATGTGTCCACTTTGGGTAGAAAACATTTCAGTGTATTGTTTCAGAAAACCCTCAACCCTAGTCACAGATAATGGCAGAGAGTATTTTCAAATGACATGACAAGCCTTCTGGAAGAGGAGTGTTCCCTACACTCCACAAAAGAGTGCAGCTGCAGAGAGAAAGATATTGTGTGGAAGTGGCAAGATGCATGCAAATCTTCCCAAACGTATGTGGGGAGACGCAGTAGCCACTGTGGAATACCTCCAAAACAGACTACCAACTAAGGGAACTATATACACACCTTTGGAACTTTCACACCCAACTTGTTACACATACATGTTTTTGGCAGCACTGTCCATAGCTACATATTCAAAGAGAATAGGCACAAGCTGGACTCCAGAACAGAAAAAACGAATTCTACTTAGTTACTCTTCTGGAGGAGAATGCTACAGAATTATGGGCTTAAAGACAGGAAATGTCAGCTCAAGACATGTAGTTTATTTTGATGAGCACAGCAAAGCTGACAAAAGAGGAACTGTTGTAAATTTCTCTGAGCAACCACAGGAAGAAACACAAGACGTCATGTACTTCCCACAACAGTCCAGATCTGCAGTCTACTGTAACAGCACCCTTGTACAGGGGATGAACAGGAAGAAGGCACAGAGGACTAGACTACCAGCAGTAGCAGCAGAAGTGATGAGGAACAGTCTGATGGGGAGATGCCTGAATTTGAAGAAAGTGATGAGGAAACTGAGGCAATTCCAGAACCAGAGGCCAGACACTCAGCCATATCAAACAGAGGTGTTCCGCCACTAAGACTGTCCTACATTGTGAGGTTGGTGCAACCCCTAGAACCTTTCACCAGGGAAGAGATAGAAGGGATGCTAGACACTGAAGCTTGCCTCTGGATGAATCCTGCACAGGAAAAAATAGATACACTGCACCAGAACAAAATCTGGTCTCTCACCAAGCTTCCTCAGAAGAAGGGGATTGGAAGTAAGTGGGTGATCAAGGTAAAGCAGGGTGCAGATAATTCAGTGCTATAAAGTGAGGTTGGTAACCTGTGGCTCCTCTCAAAAATATGAAGAAGACTATGATGGAACATTTGATCCCATTTGATTAGAATGCTTTTAAGCATAGCAGCTTCTAAGCAAATGGAAGTGAGACACATAGACATTAAAGCAGCATTTTTGCACAGCAAAATCTCAGACGACAAGATTTACATGAAGTAACCCAAAGTTTTTATCTAACCAAATTAAGCACATTTAGTGTGTAAACTTCAGAAGTGACTCTATGGCCTCAAGCAAGCTGCTAGGCAGGGTTCAGCAAACTTTTTCAGCAGCAGGTGGGTCTACTGTCCCTCAGTCCTTGTGGGGGGCCAGACTATTTTTTTTTGGGGGGGGAGACAAAAAACCGAACGAATTCCTGTGCCCCACAAATAACCCAGAGATGTATTTTAAACAAAAGCACACATTCTACTCATGTGAAAACACCAGGCAGGCCCCACAAATAACCCAGAGATATATTTTAAATAAAAGGACACATTCTACTCATGTAAAAACAGGCTGATTCCCAGACCACCCATGGGCTGGATTTAGAAGGCTATTGGGCTGGCTCCGGCCCCCAGACCTTAGTTTGCCAACCCATGTGCTAGAGCATGGAATAAAAAGTTACATAGCATGCTCATACAACTAGAGTACAAACAAGGCTACACAAAAAAAGTATTTGTACACTAAATGCAAAAATGGACTATTTTGGACATTATGGACATTATGTTTTGGCATTTGCTGATAATCTTTTTATTGCAACTGAAAATGACCAGGACTACACACAAGTGGTAAAGCATCTAAGCAAGGATGTGGAGGTTAAGGGATTAGGAAAAGCTCACTACTATTTAGGTTTTCAAATAGAGAAGAAGATTAATAATTTATTCTAAGTCAAAAGTAGAATGTCACTGAACTGCTTGACAATCTGGAGATGCAAGAAGCACACCCAGTTACAACACCTATGAACACTGGCTTTTTAAAGAGCCAAGAACACTCAAGACTATTGCCTGACAACAATCAGTACAGGTCAGCAAAAGGAAAACTTTTGTACCTGACCACCACCACTAGGCCAAATATTGGCAACACAGTTGGAATTCTGAGCAAAAAAGTAGGATCACCCACTGAACTGTAAACTTAAGTTGCCAGCTGACAGTCACCCTGAACTTGTAGGTTAAATGGACATTGACTAGGCTGGGGACTCTAAAGAGTTTAAATCCACAGGTGTTTATTTTTTCTTATGTTTGCAAAGGCTCCCATTTCTTCGGGCAATTATAAACAGAATGGTGTACATTTATCTTCTACAGTCTGACATGCAGCTGCCTGCTACAGAGGTGTGCAGAGAGTTAGCCTGGCTCGATCAACTGACCAAAGACTTTGGGTTAGTGCAGGAGAGGACCTTTTGACTGATTGATAGAGGACAACCAGAGTTGTCTGAAGCTGTCATGGAGTGAGAATTTTCACTCAAGAACCAAGCATATTGGGGGAATTTATCACCTTGCGCGTGAGGCAATTCAAGATGTACTTGTAGAACTGGCTTATTGCCAGACAAAATAAATAACTGCTGATCTTCTCACCAAACCTCTACTGAGAGACAGTTTCCAGAATCTTCGAGTCAAGATGGGACTCAGGGTGGTTAATAAAATGTGCATGAAATTGTTATATATGCCTGAGAAGGGGGTTGTGGATAAATGATGCTCCAGTCAAAATGTAAAATTTCATGTTTGCTGGATGAACAAAGGCTGAAGACACAAGGCATCCCCTGTAAATTCCTAGAGGGCACTCCGTGAGGTCACACCCTCTGCTTGGAGGGGCAGGAAAGGTAACAGTAGGAATATAATTCTTATTACCTCCTTCCTGCTCAGAAAACACCCTCTTTCTCACCATGCACCTGTAGTGATAGGATGCAGGGTCTGTGTGGTCCTGATCTAAATAATGTATTTCGTAATCTAGAAGTGTACTTTGCCTGACTTATTTCACTGCTATTTTATACTTGATTCGAGTCTGCAACTATGTAAGAAAACAATATTTTTATGTCCTTACATTACATACTCCTGTGTTGTTATTTTATTTAGAGGAATAAATAAAGGAGAAGATCCAGTCTGCCAAAGGCATCCTGGATAACTATAGAAAGCTACACAGCTTAGTTCCTAGTTTCCTTGTCAAGGCTGTGAAGGATGGTATATTTTTAACTCTGATAACTAGATGTGAATCTCACTCAAGTGAATAAAAAGAAAGATAGTTAATAAATAATATATCCTATCCCACCTTCCAAATCTATCCCAGCAGCTGCCTCTCTCCCCCTCTTGGTTCTGAACCATCCTAACTTGAGTCTTAAAGAAGGTCAGAGAAGCCTCCCAGCCAGGGGACCTGATGCTGCTCCACTAAGCGCCTGGAATCCCCCCTCCACACGCACATCCCCATTTTACAGGCGCGAAGGGTGAGGCCAAGCAGGCAGTTCCCCTTCCACCTTTCTCCGCGGGACACGACTCGGTGTGCCTGCGCTCAGACTAAAAGGTCCCCAGAGATCTCCCGCGCTCCTCAGTCAGCATGCAGGGAACAAGTGTGGCATTCTCAAACAAGTTGTTGGGGCTGGGATATGCCAGAGCGCGGCGGCGGTGGCGACGTGTCCGTGGCCGACTTGTCGTAGGTCCCAGAGAGAGTATGGGGCATGCTGGAGCCGTAGGCAGGGCGCTTGCTCACCTCGTTCGGGAGGCTGAACCGAGGACCAGGCACATCAGGAGAACTTTCCCAGCGCTCATCCTCAGGAGGGCGCTGCCCGAGCCCCGCCGCAGGCGCCCGGAGGTACTCCTCCACCTTCGGGGAGGCAGGCAGGCAGGCCGGCAGCCGGACCACCGGACGAGAAAGGCGTCGGCGTCGGCAGGAAACCTGTCCTCCTGGTCCGGACAGTAGCGCATCCGCCTTGGGGACGGCCTCTGCGGGGACGGGACGCGGGACTACACGGTCTGGGCTCCGGGAGCGCAAACACTTGTGGCTGCCGCCGCCGTTACTAGCGAGCAAGGAAGAAGGGATCGGTGGAGAAGTGGCGGCCGCGGCAGCGAAGGGACCGGCATTCCCTCAGGAGGGTGCCTCGACGTGCTGGCAGCAACGAGCACAGCCGAGCGCAATCCGATCAGAACCCCAAGCCTGGAGGGCGCGTGAGTGGGGGAGTCGCGCCAAACCTCCGCCGAAGCGCGACTAGGCGCTGCCGCCCGTCGGGCGAGATCGACACGTCCACAGCCTCTCAGCCCAGCCCTCTCCTCGCTCTCTTGCTTGGGCTACCGACTCCTGGCTCCCCCTTATCCTTCGGGAGAGAAGGGTAAAAGTTTAGCATCGCGCCGCCTAGCCGCCCTCCGCTGTTTTGGCCCAGCAAGCGAAGTGTGTGCGTGAGACGCAACCGGGCCGGGCTGGCGGGCGTGCAGGAGAGCGGCTCCCATCCTACTGGGTCCTAACGCCCCATCTGCTGGTCTTGGGTGGAGGAAGGAGCCGGCGACATTGGCAAAGAGCAGCGACCCCAGGCCCCCAAAGGCAGTGTCCCTCGATATGTCAGAGGGCTACTCCCGGGGAAGGAGGGTCTGGAGACGCCGAAGGAAGCTAGAAGGGGCTGCGCGGGAAATGCTGGAAGGTCTTCACTTGCTGTTAGAAGGAGAGCAAGGAGGGAGCCAGTATAACTTCTCTAGAGAGGGAATTCCAAATTTGCTTGTGAGCAGCTACCACTGAGAAGGCCTCTCCCATTCAGTGGACCTGTCAAGTCATGAGGCTCTCACAAATTTCTAACTACTTTGGGGGATATCATACACACAAGTGGCTACCAGCCATGATGGTTATGCTCTGTTTCCACAGTCAGAGGGAATAATGCTTTTTTCTACTAGTTGTTGGGAACTGCAGGGTAAGAGCAGAGCGCTCTTGTGATTGGGTTCTGCTTGTGGGCTTTTTCTGAGAGGAGATATGATAGCCATTTTCAAATATATATAAAGCACTGTCAAATGGAAGATGGTGCAAGCTTGTTTTCTCAACCAGCTACAAGTCCACATAACAGTTACCTCGCCCAGCCAACATTTTACCACATTTTCTGCAAGAATATCAAGATACACTACATCCACAGAGTTCCCCTGATCTACCAAGCTTGTAACTCTATCAAAAAGAAATAGATTTGTCTGGCATGACTTGCTTTTGAGCAACTCATGCTGGGTCTTAGCAATCACAGCATCCTTTTGTATGTGCTCACAGATTGATTGTTTAATTAGGACCTTTCCTGTTATCACTGTAAAGCTCACTGGACAGTAGTTACCTGGGTCTTCTCCCCTCCCTCTTTGAAGACGGAGACAACATTTACTCTCCTCCAGTTTGCAGGGACGTCACCTGTTCTCCAAGAATTCTCAAGGATTATAGACAAAAGCTCCAAGATTACATCCACAAGCTCCTTGGCTTCAGCTCATCAGGCCCTGGAGATTTGAATTCATTTAAAGTAACTAGGTGTTCCTTTACCACCTCTTTTCCTATCTTCGGCTGCAGCTACTTCCTGGCATTGTTTATTCTGTTATCACCAGGTTTGGCACTGCTTTCCTTTTGGATGTAGACAGAGGCAAAGTAGGTGTTCAGCAGTTCTACCTTCTCTATGCCACCCAATAGCATTTTCCCACCTTCTCCACACAGAGGATGTACTACTTGCTTGTTCTTCCTCTTGCTTCAAACATAGCTGAAGAAACCTTTTTTATTCTTTTTAACCTGTCTTGCAAGCCTGAGCTCATTCTGAGCTTTGGCCTGAGTGACATTCACCCTGCAGCTGTTGGCTATTCATGCATACTCTCCTTTTGTGATTTCCTCTTTCTTCAATTTATTATACATGCCCTTCTTAAATCTTAGCTCATCTCTAAGCTCCTTATGCAGCCCCACCATTTTCTTTAGATGCCTCCCACTTCTCTTTCTTGTTAGAATTGTCTGCATTTGTGCCTTCAGTATTTCACCTCTAAGAAATTCCCATCCATCTTGGACTCCCTTCTCTTTTGAGTATTTCTGACATGGGATTTCACCTGGTAGTTCCTTCAGCTTTTGGAAATCAGCCTTCTTAAAGCCCAGAGTGCATGCCTGACTACACTCAGCTTTCTTTCACCTCTGTATAGTGAAACTCAGGAGAAAACAACTACTTCCTCCCAAGTTTTTTTAGTACTTCCATTTTGGTGATCAGTTCTTCTCTTTTGGTGAGGACCAGGTCCAAGACAGATGATTCCTTTGTTGCTTCTTCCACCTTCTGGGAAATGAAACTGTCAGTGAGGCTATGGAGCAATTTGTTGGACCTTACATTCATGGCAGAGTTTGAGTCCCAACAAATGTCTAGTCTCCCATTGCAACTATATCTCTCCTTTTTGAACCTTTGGTAATCAGCTCTAGGAAGGCGTTATCCAAGTCTGGCTTGGCGATCTATGGCAAACACCCACTGTAAGGTCACTGTTGTTTCCTTATCCTACAATTTTTACCCATATACTCTCAATATGCCTTCTGGGTCATGGGTCACTTTACAAGCAGAATGCTACTACTTCTCCCTTCCTGTTTAGTCTATTCCCTCTAATACACCTGTATTTCTACATTCTAGTCCTTAGTTTCATCCCACCAGGTTTCAGTAATGCCTACTAGGTCATATTTGCCATCCTGCATTAAATGCTCTGATTTGTCTTCCTTGTTTCCCATACTCTGCATTTGTGTAGAGCCAATGATACCATGAGTCATTCTCTCCACCTGCTTCCTTCTTGTAGTTCCTTGCCCTTTAGCAGGTTTCTGGAGTACCACCTCAGTTTCCTGTGCATCAATGAAGCTATTATCCCCAGGACCAGGTGTTCCCCTGTCATCTGTAGTGTTGCTTCCCTCGCCCTCGGGATTTAGTTTAAAGCTCTCCTAATCAGGTTCACAAGACTCTTAGCAAGCACATTCTTGCCAACTGCTGTGAGGTACAACTCATCTTTTACAAGAAGGTCTTCCTCAAAGAAGCAGAGACTTGTGCTTTCCAACAACGGATCATGGAGGCAGAGAAGAGCCACTACATAAATTTTTCCAATACTGTTTTAAATCCATCAGATTTGGTGCCCATCACTGCCTCTCATGGGAGAGAATTCCATAGCTTATGTGCTGCATGGTAGTACTTCCTTTCATCCATCCCCAGTCTTCCAAAATTCACCTGCATTGGATGCCCATGAGTTCTAGTGTTATGAGAGAGGGAGGAAAACTCAGGCCTTTTCCTCAAGAGGTAGACTGGGGCTACAGCAGAGATAAGAAGTTCGAGAAGGCAGCTCATGGTGGCCTGGCAATGGCCTCATGTGAACAGTTGTTGCGCTGCTGAGTTCTGCAGTACAAGTGGCAGTTGACAGTCATGCTGCTCAGATTCACACTGATGGTTCCAGTCCTTTGTGCAGGAAGGCTGAATCTCCCACCCCTTCCTGGCCAAGTGGTTTGTTGTTAAGGAGTGTCTTTTCTGTGTTTGGGTCACAGTCTTCTATTTGAGGAGCTCAAGGTTCTAAGCCCCAAACAAAATGAACTTTTTCATCCATTGCCCCCTGCTCTCTGTGCCCTCCCTCAAACTTGCCCTCAGTGATTGTCCTCAATGTGCTCATTCTTATTGGGCAATGATGAGGCAAAATTAGGGTTCTGCATTGTTTGTCTCTTGGCAAATGTAACCCCAGAGGAGGCAGGTGTATTTGGGCATCAGTCACTACCTGGTATTAGCCAGCCCTCACCTGCCTGCTTTCTTACTTCCAACCAGTGCAGAAGATGGTCTGCTTGTCAGCTTCCTTCTCCTTAAGCTCACTGTTGCCCTTTGTAGAATTTGGCAGGGAAGAGGAGGAGGAGGAGGAGGAGGAGGAGGAAAACTAGGATTAACTGGCTTTGCTGGTCACTGAATTTGGCTTCATTTGGTCTCTCGGCTTTCTGCCCTATTTGTTCCAAAGGGTGCCAGCCTACAGCCCTGTTCTGTTGTATGATAATTGGAAGGCATGTTGTGGCACTGCTGCCCCTACTCACTGAAGGGTAACCTGGCCTGTGGGCCTTTGAGAAGCCCAGCCGCACTGAGGTGATGATGACTCTGGGTGGAGCAATATGCTCAATGATGTAAGCATCTCTCCTGTCCTATGGTCCCTCTTCAAGGGCAGTTGTCCCACACCAGACAAGCCAGCTGGGAAGAACCAGCGCAGAGCAGATGCTCTGTCCTGTCTTGCACATCATTGATCAGCCCTCCAGCTGGTCTCTGCTTCCAGCATCATTAGAGCTAGTGATGCTGCATGGATGAAGCAGGAAGGATTCATTTGGCTTCCAGGAGCCTGGTTGTGCTCCATGGGCTGACAGAGGGAACAGAAAGTGTTTTAGAAGTGCAGGTTGAGTAATTGTGACAAGATGGAAATTCAGAAGAAATGGAAAGGGGAGGAAAGAAGTAGCTTCCCTCCTACTCTCTCTCCCCTCCCCAATATACTCCCAGTGTAGAAAACCATTTCCCAGTAGAGCAGGCAAAGTGGAAAAGAGATAAAGAAACAGATGGCATCATGTGAGATTAAACAAAAGCATACATGGAGCTCCGCCTAAAAACTCCTTCCCTTCACTGTTGTCAACAAAAGTATCCTCTGGTGACTTTGAAATTTCCTGTGGTGTGGCTGAAAAATTGGTGTCTGAGTGTTTCTTCCCAGCATATCTAGGAGTTATTACTAGGGCCCACACCCTATTATTTGTGGGCAGATTTGCTAATTTCTCTCTCTCTCTCTCTCTCTCTCTCTCTCTCTCTCTCTGTGTGTGTGTGTGTCCTTCCTTCTCTGCTGAATTTCAGTTTGGTTTTGAAACATAGGAATGCTAGTGCTGCAAACTGTGGTTTACACCAAAATCCCACATACCCTAATGCTCAGAATGCAAATAGTGGTGCACCTCTTTGCACAAATGATTACACATACGCAATTCACTCTCTTTTTGATGGCACACACAACTGCAAATTGCTGTGTCACTTGGGTGTCTTCTCTCCTAATGTTTGCTAATCTTGTTTGTCACTCTTAAACCCAGGATAAATCTGTTGGTGGCAAAGAAAAACTTAACATATAACAGAGAACTCTCTGGATGGCAAAATACAAATTTGGAGCAAGTACTCTTTGGTCAGCGCTCCTGCAGATATTTAAAATCACAAAATATCCAGCAAGGTAAAGTGTGAAAATATATGCTGTTATACCTTTAAAATATGCCCTTGTGAGTTCCTACTGAAGTTTCCCTCTTCCCCTAGCATAGTAAAAGGACCACATGCATGGTAAGTTAAAAATGGTTTACTTACAAACTCTCCAGAAACATTACACAGGCAGTAAAGCTTGGCTTAGTTAACAGTGGTGAAAGTTCCTAAATTATTGGTATAGGAACAAAACAGCGGCTTGTAAGAGCCATGCAGTCTGAGCTGCAGCAACCAGCTCAAAACCTCATCAC